GAGTCTAGCTCCCTCCTCCACTTCTCCGCAAAGGCCCATTTCTGCACCGTCCTCCTTTGCTTTCCCATCCTCTTGCTGTTTCCAGTTATATCCTTCTCACATGCCCATCCCAAAACCAAACTGGTAGTTATTGAACAGGGATTGGAGATGGCAGACTCTCAGTTCATTAACTGCTTGTCAAGTTGGAAGTTTTCAAAATTGGCTATAAAAAGGAATAAAACGTGATAGCGTTTCCTCAGAATTTCTTTTTACCTCCTCTAAAATTGCATGCTAGCCCTGGCCAGGTCCCAAGTGACTCAGTTGGTTGGAGGGCCATCCTATGGGCCAGAAGTTTTGGGGTTCAGTTTCTGGTCAGGGCACATATCTAGGTTGCAGTTTCCATTACTAGTCAGGGTGTGTATGGAAGGCAATTGATCCATGTTTCTCTCTCACATTCACATTTTCTCTCTCTCTCAAATCAATAAGTATGTCCTCAGGTAAGGATTAAGAAAATAATTTAAAAAATAAAATAAAATAGCCCCAACAAGTGTGGCTCAGTTGGTTGGACATCACCCCACAAAGCAAAGTGCCGCTGGTTGGATTCACAGTCAGGGCAGATGCCCTGGTTGCAGGTTTGGTCCCTGGTCAGGTCAGGGTGCACAAGGGTAGCAACCGATCTATGTTCCTCTCCCTCTCTCCTTCCTTCTCTTCTCTCTAAAGATAAATAAATAAAACCTTAAAAGTAAAATAAAATAATATTCTATGCTGTCAGTAAGGGAATCTGTATTTGATAAAGTGCACTCTAATGAACATCCCAGCTGCACGGTAATAAAGTTGTTACAGTACAGACTTTGGAGACAGATGCCTGAGTTCCTACTTACTAATTATATTTACTAGGTTAAGTTAGTTAACTTTTTTATGCCTCAGTTTTGTATCAGCAAAAGATTACCTTCCTCACTGGGTACTTATACGGATTACAGGAAATGAATTGTTCCAGGACCAGAGTAAATGTTATGTTAGTCATTATTATCTCATATGAGATGTTAATACCCTTTCAACATTCCCAAGAAGTGACCATTTATTTTAATCTTGATTTTCCGTAGGAACAGAGACATTATCTCCCAGGGAGACTTACTATTATTTTTGCTATAGGAATGTTAATCTCTCTATAGTGAAATAAAATTTATTTTCCTTTTAGTTCTTACTTGCTAGTCTGAGGTCCACCTTGGAGTGATATAGAAGAATTTAACTGATATTTGACTCGATATTTTTCTGATATATTCCTATCATAATGCACATATAGTATAGATGAGTACTTAGTAACTCACTGTCTACATTGTTCTTAAAGAGTGCTATCCAGAAAGAGGATCTGAAAGCACTGTTTCCTTCATTCTAGATGGACTCCTAAGCTCTTATTCATTTTTGGAATTTTTAACATCCCTGTAACCCTACCTTGACTAAAATTAAGTCTTTTTTCTATGACTGCTACTAAATTGCATCTCATTATTGCCTCTCTGGATTTATGTGATTTTTCTCCTGCTTTTTGCTTATTTATAAGGTGGTGGACAGTTGTGGGATAGTTGTAGGATGAGAGTAGTAACTAGACAACTTTATCACTGCTTTTCTTAAATTTCATGCTAGCACCAGTGTATACCTTGAATTTGTCAAGATATTTTGGGATTTTAGTTCTATTAACCATCTTTCCATTACCTGTCACTGAGTCCTTTTTCTTTTGATAGCCAAAATTATATAGCTGTCACACAATGAGGTTTATAGAGTGTTGAGAAAACCAGAGTCCTACTTTTATTCCTAGCTTCAAAAATAATAGGCCTAAGGTACTTCTTAACTGTTCACAATATCTGCCTACTTCACAAATTTGTTTCAACCTCTACAGTGTTGAAAAGTAAACTAAGACTTTTAGAAAAAATTTCCTCACAGTATTATAGAAACAAGCAAAAAGTCCCAAGTTAGCCTAAAGGAAATCAAGTGAATATACTGAGAACATGGGGAAAGTATCAAATAAATTTGTAACCCTTGATCCTTCTTGCTTGTTCATTTAGATGTCTAGGTTTCTCTTCATGAGTCACTCCGGCTAAGGATTGCCCCTGTCTCCGCACAGCACCTTACACACATGTCTGCTCTTGTCTTTGGCAATGGGCAGAGGAAGATATCATTTGCCTGTCTATTTCTTCCTTAATATCATGAGATCCTCGACGGTAAGCAAAAGCATTTTAATAATCCCTACGCCCAGCACAGAACCTAATACATAATACATAATAAACATTGTTGAATAAATAAATGAGCAAGCTTGCTAACTACATGTCCCTACTGATACAAGGCCAGTCATTAACTTAGGTTACACTTTTAAGTAGATGAATTGTATGAAGTAAGGACAGTTCCTTTTCCCTACCTCCTCCCTGTGGCCAGAAGTTCCACTAAATAATTATAAAAGTCTCTAAGCCATAAAATGCAAATATCCCTGAGGGAGAAGTAATATTTTGGCATCAATATATGTTAGATTGTGAATTAACGACACCAGCGACTTCCTCCAGTGCAGTTTATAGAGATTGGGGTGGCATTAGAAAAATAGTATACATTATCCCCACAGGTCCCAACGCTGTTGTGGCCATGGGCCACTAAAATCTTGGAGCATCAGCCCATTAGCAAATAGAGGTTAGAAAATTCCATTCCTCCCGTAGATACCATGTCTAGAACAGGGATTTCTGCAGGTGCCCATGTAATCATCTGAACTGCTTCTCAATCAAACACCTACCCCATGGAGCCCAGCTGCCTAATTAGCTTCCTGGCCAGAGTTCTAGGTACCTGGGTTCCCTCCTGAAGGAGGAAGCCCATCCCTGAATCCTAATCAGCAATTAAGAGCCCTGGCTTTCTTGCCCTCCAGTGTCCCCAGAAAAGATTCTGCTTTTCAGGTCTTATAGAAACCTCTCACCCAGACCTTCCCTGAGAACTCCACTGTCCATGGTGGTGGTCTTCATTCTTTGATTGGCAACCCCTCGGCCATTCACCCCGGTGTGAATGGGAATCTGACTTTTGCCTTCCATCCTTTAATTTTGGCTCAGAGCTCCCTCAAGTCCTCTCTAACCCTAATCATTGTACCCTAACCCTTGCCAATCCTGGCTCAGTGCCAGTTTGCTCCTTTTTTCCTTACAGGAATCTATAGGTTTATCTGCCCTGGTCACATCATTTATGATCCTGAGAGAGAAAAATGAAGGGGAGGGAATAGGAAAAGGAACCATTAGAAACAGCAAAGATAAAAATTTCCATCTGCCTCACATGTTTTGCCAAGAGCCAGAACTTCTTAGCAGCAGAGGTTTTAAATTCCATGCACTTAGACAGAAGTTCCTCAAAAAGATCTCTAACTATAGCTTCTTTGTCTTGGCTTCTCAGGGCCCTTTTGTAAGCATTGCCCCTCCAGGTTAAAGCCAAGTACCCAGGGCTGGCCATTTCTGCTGGATCTTGGCTATCGGCCAAGCTCACATGCCAAACAAATAGAAGAGGAAAAGGGCATAGACAGAGAGACCAAAGGGACATTTCCCAGTTAAGACATCAGCACTCCTTTTTTATTTTTAAGATATCCGTTTTTAGGACCCTGCTCATTCAAAAATGTAAATTCTTGAGAAGCATGTTTTCCTTCCAGTGGTCCTCTTGAATTTTTTTATATTTACAGAGTTCTTAGGGTTTTTTTTTTCCATTGCACACAGGAAAGTTTAATGTTTGGTATCAGTAAGGTAGTTATAAAAAAACACAAGGTATTGCTTCTTGGCCTTTTGGCTAAGATCAAGTGTAGTAAAAAAAACACAAGATGCTGAAGAAAATTAATTCTTCATTATATGTCAGATGAGTAAACGGAACATTTTGAATCATAAGCGTACTCAACATTTTAAATACTTTCAAAACTATTTCCTTTGTACAGAATAATTTCATCATGATTAGAAATATCTCAGGCTTATTTAACATCTAATAGAAGAGAGGGCAGTGTTTTCGAATGGAAAGGACACTAGACTGAGAATCAGAAGTTTTAAATCCTAATCCTTTCACTAATCGTGGATCTTGAGGTGAAGTCTCAGGCTCCTCATCTGCAAAATGTAGGAATTAAAATAGGAGACTTTCAGTCTTTTTTGGCTACAACCTTTTTCCTGTTTAATAACTTTGCTGAGAGTATAGTACAGTGAAAAAAAAAAGAAATACATTCAGATTCAAGAGATTCAGATTTTAATCTGAGTTTTACCTCTAACTTTCTTTGTGACTTTGAGCATTTGCCCTCTCTCCTGTTTCCTCATCTGAATAAAAAGGAAATAGAACAGATGGTGTCTAAGGACATTTCCAGCTCTAAAATTTTATAACAGAGAAAAATGTCTGTGCTGCATATGCTACCTTCCATTTGCACATAAAACTTGATGTTTTCCTCCAAGCAGCCTGAGAAGAATACATGCATTTGTAAAGCATTTCCCCAGTGTACTGGATGGGACACACACTCATCCACCTGAACAATAAACCTTGGTTCCCAAGGAGAAAAGCTGTCTTAAGTGCCTCTGTGCCTCACCTGAGGTCCAGCTCTGGAATCCAGCACAAACATTATTATTACCAGGCTTCATTCAAGTGACCCCTATAGACCATGAAACAAAGACAACTATACCCAAATCTAGTCTTTACCTTCTGTTTATAAATATATTACTTATGGGCAAGAATAACTTCTTAAATGCTAAAAAAAGGCTATTTATCAAATACACTTACTATTACATTTTTTACATGAAACTGTGCTTAATCCAAAAATATTTTTGTATTTATCATTTCTGGATTTTTGTTAAAATGCTGTAACTATTCAAGTAAAGTGTCTGCTTCGAAAGGAAGTCAGAACTACAGTCACGGTGGTTTACAGAACAATTTCTGGTAGTCTTTGCTTCAGTTCAGTATGTTGCCATGATTGGCTGTCAATAGTTACAAATAAGGAAGTTTTCAAGTCAGGGGATTTCTCAGTGGAAGTTCCCAGTTCAACACAAGGGAGAGCTCAGGGGGGTTTGGGCAGCATTCTAGACTCTGTAACTGCCTACACTTTAAAGAGCAGTGGTCTGTGAAAGAAGACTTGTAACCCGAAGAAGCAGTAACCAAAACTTGAATAGTTCGTACTGATTCACAGCCTAGAAAGGGGCTTGGATGGCTTAAACTGAAGTGTTGCTGATTTGCTCTTCTCTTGCTTCTGCTGAGTGAGTAGTTTATGACATGATTCAATAATGCCATTGTATTCATTATTATAGTTAGGAATTTGACCTTTAAAAAAACAGGGTCCCTAGCTAAAAAAAATTTAAATACTGTGATTTTGTTACATTTTTCTCAACTTTTAAAATAGAATATATGTCTATTGGAAATGATTTTTTTAAATATAGACCTTCTGTAATGAGTGGTTTTTATAACATAATGTAGAATAAAATGTATGTATTTGGCATAAGTTATATATGGCTTACTAGGTTGAAAAGTACACTAATACTATACATATTCATACTTTCTTTGGTTATAATTTTAAAGATCAATTCCAGCATAATCCAGTGTGTTCATTCAAACATTAACTCAAGTTTATATTCTTCCATTTTCTAAGAGATACATTTTAAAGAATATAGCTTTACTGTAAAATATCAACCTCATAGGAAATTTTCCATTTCCTATCCTGAAATATGTAAACTTAAATAATTAGAGCAAACTAGTCTTATTCTATTACCAGTTGGCTTTTATGTTCATAATCAAAAATGAATACTAAAGACTATATAGTATCTTCTTAAATATTTTCTTAATAATAATCTTAGGATTAAACACCCAGAATATCATCACTATTGCTATATTAATAGCTACCATTTATTGAGTGTCTGCTGGAGGAAAACAATCACAAAACCTTCCAGTTCACAACAGAGCCCATGCTTAAATATGAATTCGTATCACTCCTTTTTCCATGGCTCTCTGTTTCCACTGCCCTGCCTTCTTACAACATTGAAACAGAATTTGGGGATGTTTTATCCAAACTGCAAAATGATGGGAAGGGGAAGGAAAATGACTTGGCCAAGGTCACAGAGCAGCCAAGTTATTTATAGAAACTTAGAAGTCATTTCTAGTTCTCCCTTCCCCTCACTCACCTGCACCATCCCCTCACCATCCCCAGGGCTCACTTGTACCTGTGCCGAGGTGCACACCAGAGTCTGCCTCCACGCAAAGGGGGTAAGGGCTGTATATGAGGTTCCTGCTAGCAACCGACTAGGGCCCTAAAGGAATGTTCAGTTATTTCTTCTAAACACTTGTGACTATGAAGAGATGGCCAACTGAAAAGATTTAAGACAAATCTGTTAAATTTCTCCAAAAGTGTTCCAGTTGTAATTTCATAAAACTATTTCACAAATTTGAGGAAAATGATCATCCTTACAGTAGAGAACCTTCCTGCCTGCAAACATTCTTTCTTTCCATACACTTAAGGACTCAGGCAATATATAGGTTTTTATTTGTTGTAAAATATATTCCAATAAATTTTGTTTTATTATGTTTCTGTGGGGTAGGGATTTAAGAAAATTCTTGATTCCACAATTTTATCTTGCATCCAGCCATGTATTGAGCTTTTATTTATTCTAAATTATTTTAGGTAATTTACATGTGCTGCCTAGATAGGAAAAATATAATTGTATGTCCTCTTTTGTTCCTCTCACCATATTGTCCAGAGAACTTCTAGAATAGTTTAATAACAGAGAACATAGCAGCCAACCTTGTCTTGTTCTGACCACAATGGGAATTTCCCTAGTGGTTAACATTAAGAATGACGTTGGCTGTTGGTTTGAGGTAAATAAACTTATTATAAAAACCAAATAACTACCAAATATACTTCTAACTCTAGTTTACTAAAGATGTATCAAGACTTCCTATAAAACTGTATTCGATATTGTGGTATCATTAGAGACAACTGTATAGTTTTTCTACTTTATATAGCATTTTGCTGTTATACAATACGGTAATTTCATTTTTTTAAAATTCCACATTATCAAAGATCGTGCCCCAGTAAAAATGATAGGTTTATAGTTATAAAGTATATTTTGTTTTTCCTCTGATTAAAGTAACGAATTGGTTGATCAAAACCAACCAAACTAAACCTACACATTTCCTCATTTTCTCTTCAATCCACATGCTTAGACGCCTCTTCTCTATTATTTTGTCTTCACAATTTAGATCACAACTCAAATTAACAGAAAGGAATGAAAACAACATGACATAGCCAAGGAGCTCTATCCAGGCAGAGCAACCAGATACTCAAACAAAGCAGCTCTTCCTGCGCTTTGTGCAAAATCTTTCTCCCTGTTATGACAGTGCTGGTTGCAGACCAGTTCAGTTACAGTTTACAGTAATATGCAAATGGATGACCCAATTGAACAATTTTATACCAGTTTATATTAAGAAAATGCATTCTGAAGAAATGTCTGTAATTTACTGAGAATTTTTGCATTCATATTCATAAGTGAAATTAATCTGTATTTTTATTTTCTGATAAAAATACCAAAATTTTCCATGTTCTAAAAATATTTAATGGGCACTTTTTGCTCCTTGAAATGTTTAAAGAGCCAACCTTAACACTGTTTGTCCTTGGCACCTGCTTTTGTTTGTTTTGTTCATAAATGATCCTTTTTATCAAATATTTTAAATGCATAAGCATACACGATATTCTCTTGTACTTTTTAAATCATCTCTATAATTATGTGGATAACTCTTTTTCATTTCTTATTTTATCCATTTATGTTTTCTCCCTCTTTCTTTTTCCTGATTGGATATGTCAAAGAATTCATCTCTTGGATGTATCACTTTAATGGTTAGATGATTAGCTCTTTTTTAAATAGTTTTTGCTTTTAATGAATATTTACTTAATGCCATGTTTTAGAATATTTTCTCTTTCCCTTTTTGTTTTTGAGTTGAATGATTACTTCATTTATTTTTATTCTTTGTTGTTTACGTAATGAAAGTATTTAAAGCTAGGAGCACCTCTGAGGATCGTTTTAACTACATCTCACAACTTTGATATGTCACTTCCCCGTGGTCATTATTATATGGTTTTTAATTACAAATTTGTTTCCTTTTTGATTCAATAGTTACTTAAGAGAATGCAGGATTTTTAGTTAATAGACTACATTTTTAGAATAGTTTTAGATTTAGAGAAATATTGAGAAAACATTACAGAGTTCCCATATACCCAGCCACACAGTTTCCCCTACTATTAACATCTTATTTTATTAATTCAGTTCATAGTTTATTCAGACTTCCTTATTTTTTTCCTTTTTAAAATTTTGAGGTAAAATTCACTTAATGTAAAATTCATTTGAATACTATTGTAAATTGAATTGTTTCCTTAACTTCATTTTTGGAATGTCCACTGACGATGCATAGAAACAACTGGCCTTTGAGCATCAATCCTGTAATCCTGCAATTTTGGTAAATTCATTCTTTAGCTCTAGTAGCATTCTTGTGTATTTTGGGGGATTTTCTCTATACAAGACAATTGTCTATATAAGACAGTATCAATGTAAACAAAGATATTATCACTTCTTCCTTTCTAAGTTAGAAACATTTTATAGTATATCTTGTTTAATTGCTCTGACTGGAACTTCAGGACGAGGTTGAACTACTGTGCTGAAAGAATTATCCTTGTCTTGCTCTTGGTCTTCTGGGAAAACCTTTCAGTTTTTCACCATTATGTAAGCTGTTAGCTGTGGATTTCTCATAAATTCTCTTTACATATTGAGGCAGTTCCCTTTTATTTCCAGTTGTCTATGTCTTTTTTTTAATCACTAAAGGCTGTTGGATTTTTGCCAAATGTCTTTTCTGCATCAATGAAGATGATCAGATGTTTTTTTCATCTATAATGTGGTATATTGTATTGAATGATTTACTTATGTTTAACCACCTTTGCATTCCAGTAATAAATTATACTTGGTCATGAAGTAAAATCCACTTAATATGCTGTTGAATTTAGTTTACTAGTATTTTGTAGAGAATTTTTGCTTCTTTATCCATAAGGAATACTGTTTTCAGCAGTTCTTAAATAGTTATGTAACTATATTCCAGAAGTGAAGAGTATTTATAACTCACTTACAAATGCAGTCTGTTACACCAATAAATGTGACTTGACCCATTGTGTAAAGTAAACAATGTGTGAGAATTAGTCCTGAAATTGTTCACTGAATTTCTACTTCTAATCTAGTGGATTAAAAATACAACTACGAGTGGTATAAAGATATAAAACCTTTATTGTGATAAAATCAGTCACAAAAATAGAAAATTTAGATCCTACCCAATTAATTTAAGAACTCAGCAGTTTTCCTCAAATTACATGAGTTCCACCCAGAAAATATTAAAGATGTCTTTCAATGTGATGCAACTGTATAAAACTAGAATATGCCTATTTGATGGCCAATGTATCAAAATCAACAGAATTTAGAAAGCACATATAATTATAAAATAAGCAGAGACAAAAAGGCAATTTACATAGAATTATAAACTTCTTTAAATGTTATCAGAGTTCAAATGATATTTCTTTCTTCAGGTAATTTTTTTCCAGCTTGGTGAAGTTTGTTTTCAAATTTCCTTTGGCCCTGAAATGGTGGCTCCATTAAATGTCTGCTGTAATTAAGAATATCAGAAAAACTAAGCCTCCTTTCTAAAGTTTCTGTGGTGAAGTCATGCGTATCTCCTAGATCAATAAATCCAATGATGTAATCTTTGGTTTTTCCATCTCTTACCAGTATTAGTATGGGAATGACTTTGATCCTCAGTCTCTCAAAAAGAAAAAGTGTTTTTTCCACATTCACCCTCAAAAATTTGGTCTCCAGGCATTTCTTGAACAATATCACCAAATATATGTCTAGTATTTTATACCTGAATGTGGAGTATGTAGAAAGGACAAACAACTTTCCTACTCTCCTTGACTTCTTGCGAAAGGCTTGCTAGAGATTTCTCTGTATTCTCCATGTCCTTTTTAAAGCCATTCTTATTTCTGCTGTTGAGCTTTTCTTTGTGCCTCAGGTCTCTTCCAGGTGTTCCAATTCATCCTTGTCCATCTGATCCAGTTTCTGAATTTCAGCATCCAAATGTTCTTCCACTAGGTTAGTCTAAATTAGTCTGAAGCAACTGCTTCTCTAGGACTTTCGAAAACATGTTGACGGATGCATTAACTTCCATTCTTAACCAT